GCTCCCGGGTTCTGGGTGGGGAGCGAGCCTGGGGGCGGCCCGGGGCCCCTTTGGGCTGCCCCTGGCTCCCAAGCCAGGTTACATAAGGAGGCAAGTCTGCTAGGTAACCTGCCCCTCCTCTCCTGCCCAGCCCAGAAGACTCTCTTCTGCCCCGCCCCTCAAAGGAGGTTGAGGGATTGGGCCACAGGGCCTGGATCCCCGGACCCCGGGGTGGAGAGACCCGGGCTTAGTGGGAGGGGCTGGGAAGGTGGGAGTCCTTGGCTTTTCTGCAGGGATGGATGGGCCATCCTAGCGATTGGAGATAGAGGTTGGTGGAAGAGGAACTCAACTGACCCCTTGGGTCAGCTCCCGTTACAAAGTTGCCTGATCCTTGCTCAGTGTAAGGCTCTCCCGACTGGCGTCCGGGGCCTGGTTCTATGACCTGAGCACATGTGCTCAGGGCAGATGTGCTCAGGTCTCTCCAAAAAGGGCTTGCAGACCGTGTGGGTGTGTGTACTCAGGTCTAAATCTTGGTGGTCTGTCCTCAGGGTCTTAGGTTGAGGAGCATCCGACCTGGAGCGTTAAAGCATGATTGGATGCCTGCTTGTCCTTTAAGCCCTTGCTCTGAACTGTGTTCCCAAATCATCTCCCTCCCTGCCCCCCCACCTCCCTCCCCTGAGGGTTTTTTAAAACACCTCCCATTGCTTTCATCTTTCCAGCAAATCTGGCTGCAGCTTGGATGGATGCCTTATCTTCCTTTGCAGGTTTCTAGGGGAGAGTTTAACCAGGTATCAGGTGTGAGTGAGCATGGCTCTGGCTTTATATAAACCTGAGGACCGGGGAAGAGAAGCAAGATCTATTCTCGTGCCTCTGGCTGGTGAAGGTTTTGCCTTGTTTAAAACAGGGGCGACAGATTTCTGAAAGACTCTTCTGTTCCTCTTCTTCTTTGGCCTTGGTTCAGAGCTACCAGCAGCTCCAGAATCTTCCTGAAGAGCTGGGTGCTGTGAGATTTGAAGGGCTGTTGGAAGGCACGGGCGTTGGGGCCTCTGACTTTCCTCCTAGGTTGGTGGCAGCCACCTCCAAGGAGAAGTGTTGATAGGTGCCAACAGGGTCCCCTAAGGCAGGATTTGGACAAGGATCTCTCTACTCACTCAATGCCTCGCAGCCCAGGGTCTGTTGTCTGCCCCACCTGTTTGCAAGACCTGTGGGCAGCTTTTCCAACCTGCAGAATCCTTGCCAGGGTTCGAAGGGCTGGGCTCTCTGGGGCTCGTTTGTTTGTCGTGGGGCTGCTGGTGTTGCAGTGGGCTGCCTCTCTCCCCCGTGTCTCCGTTTCCAGCTCGGCCCTGGAAGAGAGGGGCCGGTGCCATTCCAGGTTGGCCTGCTCAGTATTCATTCTGCCCCAGCTCAACTTGAGCAGCCAGGGCCAGGGCTGAGGGCAAGCTACATTCTTTTCTGCTTTTCTGCTGCAGGATGCAGTTTGCTTTTTTCCATGTGAATGAATTATGTTTGAAACCGAAATGAGAGGAAGAGAAAAATAGAGTGAGTGTGCACGGGTATGTGTGTGTGCATACCTATATAGGCAGGGGGAGAGCAGCAGGCACATTATTTTTCCATTTTCCTTTAATTAAGGCTCTGTGGAGGTGTGTTTGAAAACAGAGGGTCTCCTATGCCTTTGAGGAGGGTGAGAACACTGTTTTGGCTGCGTCCCGGGCCATATGCAGCGTATGGTGGCCAATGAAACTGGGCCTGGCTCGTTCTGTTGCTTGTCTTGGCAGTCGGTTCCGTGGCTTGTGTTACCAGCTCTGGAACTTACGGGCTGCCAAGCTCTGTGTGCCTGTGTGTGTGTGTGTGTGTGTGTGCGCGTGCGCGTGTGTGCACTCTTGTGTGTGTGTGTGTGTGTGTGTGTGTGTGTGGTTTGGCCTCTCGAAGCTCCGCAGAGACAAATGCCTTAGCGACCCAAGGTTGGAATTTTCAGTCTGTGTTTCTTTACACTCATTTGCCGGCTGTGGGAGGCCCAGTGAGAGCCCCCCATTCTGGGTTTTTGTTGTTGTTGGTTTTTTTTGTTTTTGTCTGTTTTCTTGCTGCAGCCCATAGGATTCCATTTGTGGAGCTCCATTTCCAAAACTTTAGTTGGCCAGTGGCATTTTTTTTAAGGGCCAAGAATTTGTCACCCGTCACGTGCGTGTCTGTGTTACGTATCATACTATGAACTACCGACACCAATGAACGCGCATGGGGTGAGGCGGGAAGAGAGGATAGAAGGCTTGTCCAGTGGTGGTACCTTCCCAGCTCTTTGCTGTTTGGGATAAGGATCTTGGCAGAAATGCCTTACCGTGTATTTATTGAGCACCTACATTAGGCAGGGGAGAAAGCTGTGTTTACAGGCGGGGCCTCGTCGGAAGCATTTCTCTGGTCTCCAGGGAAGAACCTTTCCTGCGGGGAGAGGTTCCGGTTTCCTCTATGGGCCCGGGTGGCCTTGCGAGGATCGCTCATGCTAGTGTGTGCCATGCCGCTGGCTTCCTCTGATCGCTGCCTCCCCTCATTCCCTTCTTGTGAGGATCTAAGGTCTGTCCCTTTCTAAGCAGCGTAGGGATACCATAGATTGAAGGACACAGAAGATGCTGGCCCTCTGCTTCTGGGGGGAACACACTGGTGGTGCCTTGCCAGCCATCTAGGCAGCTGTGTTCTGGCCTCCGGAGGAAACTTTAGGAGAAGCCAAGGCAGAGAGACATGTATTCTGCCTCATCTCTACCCCTCTGTACCCAGCATTGATCTGCCCTCCTCTGTTTCTCTGTTGCAGTAACGGCCTGGATGCAGGATGGTCTTGCCCCTTGGAGTTTACAGCTGGAAAGTGGGACAGCAGAGAATCCTCTGGGGAAGAATCTTTTTCACAGCCCTAGGAAAGGGAGATCAGTGCTAGGTGGGAAATGTGCGGAAGGGATGTCGACGGGTCACCCAACACTAGGGTTCCTCCAGGAAGGAAGGCCTTCATGGCTACGCTGACTTCACGCTCACTAGGTGCAGGCGTTGTTCCAGGTACTTTCCAAGTATTAACTAATTTAATCCTCTCCTCCGCCTTACAGGCGAAATAGCGTTATTTGTTATTCCCACTTTACAGCTGAGGAAAGCGAGATGTGGGTTAGGGAACTCTCCCAGGGTCACACAGCTAGTAAGGGGCAGACCTGGGATTCGCTCTCACATGTGCTCCCAAGTTCCTCTTCCGAACGTGCCTCGCTCTCCTGACTGCAGAGCTGAGACAGTTGTGCGGCCGCCCCATTCTTAGTCTTAGAGATTTCTCCATCCTTTCGTTCCTTGCCTTCTGGATCGGCTTATCTTTTGGAAGCTGAGTTACCCACCTCGTTTCAGATTCCAGGAGACAGATCATTCCAGATGATTCCTTAGCTCCCAGCACAGGTCCGGTATTTAACTCTCCGAGATTCACGATAGTTAGTACTACGTTTTGTGACCACTGGCCTGGAACCTTTCCGTCTGCAACCCCCCTCCCCTTCCTGGCCGTGGACTTCTGTCCTCCACACTTTCCTCCTGGGAATCTTCCCAGGCTCTGGCTCCCAAGACCTCTCACCCCCTCTTGCTGATTCTCAGGTGCTGGCTACCTGCTCTTGACTTCTAACCCCACTGGGGTTCCTGGGGCCTGACCCCTGAGCTCCCTTGCTCCTTGGCCTGCCCCCACTCATCTCCACTTTCTCTCGGTGCTGAGCCTTGCAGCCTCGGGTCCTCTGCACTCATTGTGCGCTCATCCCGGGCTCCCGATGCCAGCCCAGGCCAGCTGTTTGCCTGGAGGGGGGCTGCCCTTCTCAAAGAGGCCCAGGGACTTTAGAGCCTCCCTTAAACTTTTATTTCTGTGGACAGAGAGTCCACGGTGCAGATCCTAACTTTCTCTTAACTTACCCCCTACCGCCTTTCATCTGTCTTTGCCATTCTGGACGAAGATGAGGATGATTGGACACTTTTTAACAAGAATAGCCCATTATGAGCATGACCCTTCAAAGCAAGACTATTATTTACTTGTAGATGTTTCCATTAAATCAATGATATCTTACACATTTACATATAGGAAACAAGAGAAGAAGACAAGAGAGGAAAACTTAGGTTACCTCTGCTTTTCGTTCTTTTGGCTGAAATGACCCTCCATGTTAGCATCTTCCAACAGGGCCCATTTTCTGGAATTGAAGTGTGTTGTGGCTTTTCTTGGGCTTGTACAAGGCAGCGCCCCACCCTGTGCTCCTACAAGACCCTGAGTAAGTCAGAACAGGGGGGTACAGCCGTCAGATCTTTGCTTTAGGTTCTTGCCTCTTGGACCCATCGGGTCCCTATTTCTTCCAAGCCCGCTTTTAAGGGAGCTGCCTCACACCTCCCCAGATCTTAGGCTCCGTAGCAGCTTAGGGTCTACTGTGACTTCCTGGACACGTTCTGTCTTATTCATGCCTCCCTTGCCAGTCTCATCCCCGATCTGTGCATTACCCAGCTTTTCTTTATTGGCTAGTTTCCAAGCTGTTCCTCGTCAATGTCCCAAATTGCCAAAATCATTTGGGATTCTAGGCCCTGTCTTTTGAGGTCAAGCCCCATTTTCCCGTTTTGGTCTTCTGCAGACATGTAGAGCCTGCTCTTTATTTATGCATCCCAGTTACTAACAGAGACTTGAAGGGTGTTTATCTTCCTTTCCGACCTCCGGGGCCCTGAAGGGAAAAAAACTCTGGGTTCTTCCCCCAAAGCTTTGAGTGCATAGTTCTCCTTTTCCTCCTAAATTGTTTCCGTATGGAACAAGAGGTTTGGGAGATGATTTCACCTCTTGTCATCTTTCCTATGTCTTCCTTGAAGTGGGTAAATTCCTCCTGGCTGTTGCTGGTTCCTTGCCACTGCCCCCCCCCATTTTTATAGATCCCTAAATCACATCGAATTGTTTTATTTTTCAAATCGCCAAAGCTGCCTTTCAACCTTGGATCGTCAGCCGGCTCTTTCCAGTTAGTGAAGACTCGATTCTGAAAGGGAGCCCCTCCTGCTCCTGTGACCCCCCCCCCCCCCCCCCCCCCCACCCCCAGAGCCCTGTAGGATGATTTCGTGCTGGTGAATGTCAGCTGTTGTGATTGTCTCCTAGGAATGGCATGTGTTAAGGACTTTGTGGTTTGTATCTGAGCATTTAGGGGCACCCTTGTTGGGGGGGGGGAGGAGAGAGAGGGGGGATGTTTGCTTCTGCAGAGGAAAGCCTGGTGTCTGAGCCTCAGAGTGAGGCTTGTCACTGGGATGGGTTCACAGGGGAGCAGGAATGGCAAGAATTTATGGGGCTGCTGCTCCCAGGGGTTGGTTGCCCCTCCGAGGGGGTTCCACAGTAGCAAAGAATCCATTATATTTTGGGATCATTTGTTAGTGTCTCATTTATACCATCTGTATGAAAATAAACAGAAGCTGCAAGCAGAGACTATCATTCCCGGAATAGAGTGGGGTCTGGCTTGCGTCTCTTCTCGAGATGGCTTAGGCAGGGAAACATACAGAAGCCTCTGGAGTATTTTTCTTGGGGTCTACTGTGGGAACAAATAATCTGGAGGTGGATAACAAACATCTCAACTCCCAGAGACAGATCCTTACCCCAATCACGGAAGTTTGCCCCGCCGTGAATTTTTTTTTTAATCATTTGTTCATTCATTCATTTTCATTTATTTATTAATTCAGTAAGTATTTGTTGATTAGCCTTTCTGTAATCAAGCATCCTTTAGGAGCCACTGACTCCTTGTGGCATCAGTTCAGGTCTGGCAGAGGGGATTTTGTAAGGCCTGCTCCTCTCCTGAAAAGGAGATGTGAGTTTCTTTTGTCAGGCTGGCTCCAGTGGCCTGAAATCACTCCCCTCTGCCTGTGAGGTGTCCACATGGCTGGGCCCAGGCATCATTTTTGCTGCATAGGAATGAGTCCTTACGTTGGCCCCTTTTGTATTTTCCCTGGAGGAGGCCCCGGGAGACATGCAAGCTGATCCACTCCACCCCAGAGCTGCCTCCTGGGGTAGGAAGCTGCCACCTTCTCTGCATTGCAGACCTGCCTCTGGGGGCGGGGGCGAGGGTGACTTCAGTCCGGCTCAGGTTTAGGGAAGGTCACAGTACACTGACACACCACAAGCAAGATGTCTGAGGGGCCATGTCCATGTCTGGGATCTCACCCAGGAGGGTGTTCAGGGAGCTTCCTAAACCTGGATCTGCACTGAAAAAGGCAGAATAGAGGGTCTTCTGCTCAAGAGAGCAATCCTCCACTAGGGGCTAGTGTCTCAAAACCCACCATTAAAATGTCATTCCTGGGGCGCCTGGGTGGCGCAGTCGGTTAAGCGTCCGACTTCAGCCAGGTCACGATCTCGCGGTCCGTGAGTTCGAGCCCCGCGTCGGGCTCTGGGCTGATGGCTCAGAGCCTGGAGCCTGTTTCCGATTCTGTGTCTCCCTCTCTCTCTGCCCCTCCCCCGTTCATGCTCTGTCTCTCTCTGTCCCAAAAATAAATAAACGTTGAAAAAAAAAATTAAAAAAAAAAATAAATAAAATGTCATTCCTTCTGCATTAATCTCTCTTGAATGCCAGGAGGGGAAACAGAAAGGACGGGGTGAGAAAGCTTTGGTTCTAAAACCCAGGGACCAGGAGTCCAGCCCTGGCTTTTCCCCTGTGTGACCTTGGGCAAGTTGTTTAACTTCTCTGAGCCTTAATTTCCTCATCTGCAAAATGAGGATGTGGTTTAGATAAGCACAGGGCCTCTTCCAGCTCTAAGACTATAACTTGATGCGAATGAGTCTCAGATCCTTTTCTGAGACGGCCTGGGGGACCCTAGGTGCTAAGGAGGGCAGAAAGGTGTGGGATGGGAAGGCAGGGCTGAGGGCCCCCCGGTGTGGGAGGGTGTGGGAGGCAGAGCGGGTGGAACACAGATGTAGGGCCTGGGGCACCAAATGTGAACTTGGGTGCTAGGCAGGGAACTCTGTACAATCGGCCTTATAGGCAGATGTGGCTGGTGTGCCGAGGGCAAAATGGTAGGTCCCCTGTCCGCTTTAAAGACAGTGATGTCCAGTGAAAGCCTTTGTGGTTAGAGGGTACAAATCCCTCACATGCTTTTCCCCTTCAGAGTGCAGAACCTATTGAGAAAGAGACACGGGGTTGGATAGGGAACCAAATTTCACCTTGAAAGCAAAACAGAGTTGGAGAATGTGGGGTGCACTTGTGGCCAGAAGGGGCTCCCTGGTGACCCCCTCTCCCACAGTTTAGACCCGGCAACCTGAACGGGAACAAGGGATCGTGGGTTATCCCCGAGGGCCACTCTTGCGGGAGGCAGAGAGCCCAAGGCAGCGTGGCCACGTGAGAATTGTGGCCAACAGAGAAGTGCGTGCAGTGGATGTCACATCTCCCCTGTCTCGAGAAATACCTCCTTCTTCATGGGAAGAGACTGATGGAGATGGAAAGATAGGTCAAAGCTCCCCCAGGATTTCCAGGACAGTCAAGGTTTTGATTTTACAGCCCTATGCAGAGGTTGGGAAGGGGGAGAGGTTCTTCCTGGAGTCTAGGAGCAGATTTATGATTTATAAGGCTGTGCACATTTGATCTGCATATTCTCAGTGCCTCCTGGCTCCTAGGTGGTCAACAATTGGATGGGTGGATGGATGGATGGATGGATGGATGGATGGATGGATACGAGCCCTATGGGGGACCAGATGGGTCTGACTTTTTTGGCAGACATACTTTCTTCACTGCCATCCACACCCTGAAGTGACCGTTTCTTACTCGCAACCTTCTCCCAGCAGAGAGAAGGAAGAAATAAGAATTCCCTTGGTATTGACCTAAGTTATGTCTTTCTTTCATGCCTGAATCTTTCTTCCTGGCAGAGCCACAATATGTGTTTGCTTTGAGAATGAAGAGACCAGGGAGGACTTTTCTGGTCCCGGGTGCCACTGGGAAAGCACACGCTAATGAATTTCATCTCTTTGCCTCAGTATCTTCCTCATAGATGCCACATGCACACACTCACACACACACTTACCTTTAGCTCTGATTTGCTTCATTTCATATTCAGGGTGTCTTAACAAGAATGCAGAATGGGATGTGTGATTTGAGGGGAGGCACCGTGCCAGACCAAAAATAGCTCCCTCTCAAACAGGTGCGAAGGTGCTTGAAATCTCACCGTTATAATCCATTTTCCTTGGAGGCAGCATGCTGCGGTTTAAATCCCAGCTACCCCAGTTTTAACTGTGTACGGTCTTGAGCAAGTTATCTTTCTCAGCCTTGGCTTCTGCCTCTGCGTAGTGGGTCTGACTGTGTCTCATGGGATTACCGCAGTGCCGAGCACATAGCACATACTGAATCAGTGTGACCTATGTCTGGGTTAAGCATTGCCTTCAGTGCCAAAAATAATGTTGCTGGGAGTTAACTGATCAGCGTTTCCCTCTGTGACAGAATGAACTTAAGGGCAGGAGGAATGACTGGGTGGGGAAGGGGTTTAGAGGAACATTAGTGAAAGAAAGGAAGAGGGCCTGGCAAGGGATGGGGGCTTAAGCCCCTCATGGGACCTCTCACCTGGCTGACAGCACGTGTCCTGATCTTCTCGAACCCACTCCAGGCTGGGCTGCCGCTCCTCCTGCTATGATGCCTGGGCAGATTCCAGACCCTTCCGTGACTGCGGGCTCTCTGCCGGGGCTCGGCCCCCTGACCGGACTCCCCAGCTCGGCCCTGACAGCGGAGGAGCTGAAGTACGCCGACATCCGCAACATTGGGGCCATGATCGCCCCTTTGCACTTTCTGGAGGTGAAACTGGGCAAGAGGCCCCAACCCGTGAAAAGTGAGGTGAGCGAGCCTTGTAATCCCCCAGGCAGAATCCAAGGGTAGGGTGCCTGGGCCAGAGCCCCAGGTCTAGCCCCAACATTCGCTGAGTGACCGAAGCATTGCTGTTCGGTGTGGGCTCTGAGGACCAGTATGTCCTATGTCCCCCTGCAGCTTGTTAGAGATGCAGCATCTCAGGCCCCACTCCAGAACTGCTACATCAGAATCTGTGTTTAAAACAAGCTTCCTGCCCCCGCCCCGGAGGATTCACGGACATGTTAAAATTTGGGAAGCTCTGGGCCAGGGCAGGATGCCGAACCTGCGTCTGTTTGTTGCAGGGGCAAAGGAAGGGCGATTGATAATAACAATAATAAATAATAATATATTGGCAATCTCTCTGGGATGTTGGGAGGGTCAGGGGAGATCGTGGAAACATGCACATGCTTTGAAAAGGACACACGAGAATGCCAATCGTGGATTAGCTTTAAAAATTATTGTTGTCGGTCACATCATCGTCTCTACTCCTCTTGGCCCTAGGCTGGAGTTGAACATAGGCACTTGGGGAAGGGTGGTATGGCGGCCCTTCCCAAAGCAGCTGCCAGAGATGGGCATGGCCTCGGTCACTCAGCATCATGCGCCTTAAATGGTGTTTGCAGAGGACCCGCGTGTGAAGCACTCCCTCCCCAGGTCCCTTGAGGCTGCAGCTCCCATGAGCCTTTCCTTGCAGAAGAGCAGCATTTCCCTGGGGACTGGTGAGAAGCAGAAGTCCCCAGCGTGGGTGAGCATCAGTGCTGTGCACGCCCCCAGCCACTTCCCCAGGGCTGGCAGTTTGTCCAAAGACCTGCCCCAGTGAGGTCCCCAGCCTGTGCCATTTCTGCAGAGAAATTGGACAGAATGGCTGCCAACCTGGAAGCGAGAAAGAGCAGGTGGCGGGAGGTGGAGAGGGGGTAGGGGCAGGGTGGGGTGAGCACAGAAGCTGCTAAGCATAGGTGCTCATTCGTAAGCAGAGGGGCGCCTGGATGTGATTCCATCCTGTAGCCTGGAGCTGAGGGCTGGCCTTTCCGGAGAGGGGGATTCTTGAGTGGGGAAAGGTGTCTGGGTACTGCCTTGAGTTTCTTATACAGCTACTGCTCTGCTCCCCCCGCCATCCCCACGAGTACCATAAAAATTGCAAAGAGGGGCTGCTGGGGGCTTGGTCAGCGGGGGCAAACTGGCCATTTGCGGGCTGTATCTGGCTCTCGGAGGTGTTTTATTTGGCCCGTGCAGTGTTTTAAAAGAAACTTGAACCAACATTTCACTTGAAAATTTGGATTTTAATCTTTGATTAAAAAATTGGGAGATCTGGTCACACTGTACCCCGTTCTGGCATGGCAACAGCTACCTGGAATGGAAAGCCCTGCCTCACCCCTCCC